TTTTTTGACCATTATTCTGTCTTCTTTTGAAAAGTTTCTGTTCATGTCACTTAAAATAATCAAAAAGAAAAGTAAGCCTAACATTCAGAAAATTTCCCCATAAGATACCTGCATATTCTTAGCTGCACCAGAGAAGAGGCTAAGAAGTCAATAAAAAAAAAGTTGGAGAGCAGAGTTTTGGCAGTCTTATGATACTGGGGTGAGGGACAAAAACTGGACTTTAGGATCTGTCAAGGAACTAGAGTCTCAAGAAACGTCTAGGCTTTTGTCTGGGTTCCCCAGAGAACTATACCCATGAAATGAGGGCATACCAAAGGTAGACCAAGCTTACAAAACTGTAGTCCAGTATTGTCAGCTTAATTCCAGAGTAGATTGAGCTGTTGCCAGAAGATAAGATGAATCCTTTGTGATGTAATATAATCCCAAGTCACTTCAGTGTTTCATACACAGTATCTATCATTCAGTCAAAAATTGCTAGGCATACCTAGAAACTAGACCAATGGAAAAGAAAGCAGATCCATAGGCAACCTAGATGTTAGAGTTATGATGTATGATCTTTAAAATAACTGTGACTAAAATAGAAAATAGACAACAAGATAAAGAAGGCCTGGAAACTACAAAAATAGAAATAGTAATTCTGGAACTGAAAAATACAATAACTGAACTCCTTAGCTTAGGTTAACATTGGATTAAACATGGTTGAAGAGAAGATTAGTGTACTGGAATATAGGTCAATAGAAAATATTCAGATTGAAGCACAGAGAGAAAAGAGAATGGGAAATATAGGGAAAAAGCATGAGAGATATAAAGTACATGGCAAAAAAGGTCTTGCAATGTAGGGTTTTAAATATAACTAGAATTAAAATGTGTGACAAAATATAAAAAGCGGTAGGTTAAAAAAAAAGAAATGTTCTAAAGTCTTGGCATTGTTTGGGTAGTGGTAAAAGTACTAATTTATAATAAAGTCTAAGAAACCAAGTAGGCATCTTATAGGGTAAACAATAACTATTAAAAGACTGTGTAACAAACAAGCCTATAGTGGAGAGAAATAGAATAATAATAAAAAACCCAAAAGAATGCAAAATAGGAAACAAATAGTAAGATGGTAGTATAAACCCAAATATATTGGTAGTTACATTTAAATGTACATGCGTCGATTAACAAAGATAAGATTGTCAGAGTGGATGTCAAAAAACCAACTATACACTGTTTATAAAAGACATATACTGTAAATATGAGGATACAGGAAAGTTGAAAGTAAACCAAAGGAACAATCTATAGCATTCAAGGAATGAATAAGTGAAAGCTGATGTAGTTATACAAATATCAGACCAAATGACCTTAAAGCTTATAGAGATAAAGAGAGATCTTTCATAGTAATAAAAGGGTAATTTGGGCTGGGTGCGGTGGCTCACGCCTGTAATCCTAGCACTCTGGGAGGCCGAGGT